AAAATATTGTTATCTTTCCTTTTAACATATCAAGACAGTACCAGGTACGATGCGAACGTTAACCTATAGTTTGCTCAGCAATGTGAGCGTCGGTAAAATGGCGCCTGGCTGGATTGCTCCCCAGGGAGTGGAAAATTTGCATTTTGTGTGAGGGCAAGCCTGAATCCGATGATCGGTGTAATATTATAGTTATATAGTCATGAAAAGCAAATCATCGATGTATTAAGCGCTATATAAAACGCGGAATATTATTATTCGTATTATCCTTCCAAATTGAAATAAGTATAATTATTTATTATCCATATCAGGAAATTTGGAATTCCACTGGTTACCAAGTAATACAATACATTGTAGGCATGACACCTTTGAAATGGTATTTTGTTTCAAACTCCCTTAACATGTTCAAAGTGCTGCCGTCAGACTGACAGCACATTAATCTTGAAAAGCCTACCACTTTCATGCCTGCAAACCATTTATTTTTGGACTCAATTGCCATGGTATCAATGTGTTAATTACAATTTTGTTTACGGATTCGTATCCATTCGATATTAATATAATTTCCATCTCTCACATAAATTATCGGAGCATCAAACGGTGGTGTATGGTGTATGGTTATGTTCTTCTCTTCTTGAACTGACCAAGGATGACCGCCGCTTGACCATCAAATCCAAGGTAGACATTGAAAAGCTGTGAATGTCTTCAGATTTTGGGTGAATGTGTTGATCAGTGCGAATTAAGGAGCCCACTGTATCTGGAATTTGTTCTGCTTTGTCCGGACCATAGTCATTGTCATCATTCGGTCATCATTTGGAGGACTACACTCCTCCAAGAAAGATTACCGAGTCAGAGTCCTTTTCAGGACTCCTCAAACCTCTCTCTCTCTCTCTCTCTCTCTCTCTCTCTCTCTCTCTCTCTCACACACACACACAATGTGCAACCGAAAACCTACTGTATATTCGGTTCATTGTTGAATTCAGTTGAGGAGATGCACTATGTTTTGTATGGTGATGTTCGTCTCAATCGTTGATCGACAAAATAATTTCTTACTCCTTACACTAAATTGGTAATTAGCTTATTCCTAATGTGTTGATACGAAAACAGGTGTTACAACGTTAAGATGTTCTGTATAAGACGGGCATATTGCATGAAAGTACCCATGGTAGATGTTTTTATGTTCATGACAATTTGTGTTTATCATATTCCCCGTTATTGATAAATGATCATTTTCTTGAAAGAAGATGTTTACTACTTCATTGCATGAATATTGGTGCATTCGACCGTTCACTTATATTTGATTCGCTTGTAATAAGTGATTTATTTTTTAAGCTGAAGAATTGCCAAAACATCTTCGGATGAATTATTATGAGCTAGATGAGTAGCATATCTTTTACCGAATACTTAAAGGTAAACACCAGTTTTTGAAACGCCTCCATTTAAAAAAATGAAATGGAAGCTCTTATTACCAATCATGAGAAAGAATATGTTTTGACTAATACGTGATGATACAAATTTTGCCGGGAAACCGCCTACTAATTGATATATTTGGTAAATTATTAAATCTATCTTGACCGGATAGATATCGTGCACGTGTCGCGTAGTCCCATATACACATTTCTGTGTACAGTGGTTGTAACTTTACCAAGACTGGGCCAAATTTCTTATCATTTTGACGATTCCAGAACCTGCAGTACACACAAATATCTATATGCTAGATTATCAACCTTTTCTGATCGATTCCACAACGTTTCTTTCACAATGCAATCGCATGACCAGAACTGGTCTGTATACCCTTATTGGGTAATAATATTTAATCATTCTCTATATAGTCTACTTCATACATTTTCCCACTGAAACTGATACTAAAATTTAAAAATAAAAAAGATTAGATTGAAATAAAGGCATTTTTATTATTAAAAAAAAAAGAAAAGGTAGAGAAATGGATGTCATACTTTCTGAGAGTCATTGCCTTTAACTCTTTGCAAACTGATATGGGTTAATTGCCTCGGGTTATACGTGCAGGTTCGGGAGCTGTCCAAAAGAAATTGATATGTCGCACCCATGGCGTATCTGGACCTTGGCCCCAGGGTCGTTAGAGGGGGGGGGGGGGGGGGGGGGGGGGGAGGGGTCGCAAAAGATACGAGCTATGAATACTAAGAAGTTAAATAAATAAGAAAGAAGGTATCAAAATATTTTTTTGATATTTTGTCACTATCAGAGACTTAATTGGCTTGATGAATTTTAGTATTCCTTGTTTTGTTTTTGAAAGAAAAAATAAGAAATCCGCAGGTGGCGGATGTGGCAAGTTACATTAGAGAAGGTTTTACTTATAAGAGACGATTTGATTTAGAAAGCGAATATATTGAAGGCATGTGGATTGAACTAATACAACCGAATCATTCTCCCAATGTTCTTGGTGTATTTTACAGTAAACCTGATAGTGGTATAGATTTGTTTTCAGATCTTTGAAGAACTTGTAGACAATTATTTTTCTCCATCAAATAATGTTATAATTATGGGGGATCGTAACTGCAATATGCTAACTCGAAATACTTATTCTCTTGAAATTGAAAATCTTTGTCATGATTTTTATGAACTCTCTCAGGTAATAGCTTCCCCTACACGTGTATCCTCTCACAGTAGTACTTTAATCGATTTGATTCTGTATGAGGACTTAATGATCATTCTTTGAAAAAATAATATTTGCTAAAGCTTCCCCAAAGATAAGTACTTATTTTAGGTCTTTTGAGTCATTTGAACATGATAAATTGATTGATGATTTATATAAGATTGAATAAAATCAGCTATATGATTACGACGTTGAACAAATATGTCGACCAAATTTAACATTTTTTTTCTTAGTATATGTGATAAACATGCTCCCTGTACTATGTTAGGATAAATTTAAAGGTGCTCCATGGATAACAGATAAATATCTTACCCTGGCTAGGCAACGGGGTTATAATTTTTTTAAAGTTTGATAAATATTACACGAAAATTAAAAGAATTACAATTTTCTGAAGAAACCCAACGATTAGAATATTGGGATAAGTGTACTTTTTTTCTCGAAATAAAGTAAATACATTTACTAAAAAGCATTGTAATCATACTTCTAATGAATCGAATATGAAGAAAATATGGAGGACAATGAATTAATGTTATTGCTACCAGATGGTAAACATATAATAAATATGTTTTTTTTAATTAATTGTGTTATATATAAACATGACAAAGATTTAGCCAACGTTTTTAATACATCATTTAATAAATATGTGATAAATATGACCATCAGAATACGACCGGTACAATGAATAAAACGACTATAACGGAAGTCCCTCATGTGTTCAAATTGACAGGTATAGAAATTGATTATATGAAAACAAGAATAAAAAGAATATCGATTGTGGTAAATCTGCTGGTATTGTGAATATGCATCCTAGACTTTAAAATTAGCTTGACTGAATCTTTGACTTATTAAAACTGAAAAATAAATCACTTTAACATTGCCACGATTATACCAATCAATAAAAGTAATGGAAAGAATGATCTAAATAATTACAGACCTATATATCTTGCCTATTTAATCTAAAATATTTGAATAAGCCATTCATACACGATACAATGATATATTCGTACTTTACCTTGTTAGATCAATGTCAGTCTGGTTTCAGAAAATTCATTCAACATCCATTAATTCATGTGACAAACACGAATATTTATTGGAAAATAGAAACTCTGGATTAAATGGCAAACTTTTGAAGTAAGGATAAAATATAATTTTTGTGTTCTTGTTTTTAAAATTTTGAGTAAACAAGCTGCAAATTATTTGAACCGACTCGTTACTCGACGACCAGTCTTTTAAATAAAAACGATACGCACTTAACAGTCATTTGTTTGTCCCACAGGCACTCACAGAATATAGGAAATGTAGCTTTGCCTACTACGGTCCGCTATTGTATAACAAACTTCCACTTTCTGTTCCGTCATTCACATCATTATATTTGTTAACAAAGCAATGTCGTCTTTTTGTGCATTTACTGTGGCTCTGTAACCTTTTAGCATATTTATTTATTTCCCCTTACCACTGGTTTTATTTTTTAAACCGATTAATGTGATTGCAAAATGATATCGTTTACTTGAAAAGTGCAATAGACCTAGTCCGACTCTTTTTTATTCCTTCTGTAACTATTTTAGTATTTCTACTTTTTTGTTTTTTGTTTGTTTTAGGCGAGGTTTTGTTAATGTAATACTACAGTATTTGAAACAAATTATAACAAATATTGTATGATTCAAATAGATTTATTTTTAAAAGATATATGTTTTTTTTGATAATTTACATGTATTTACAATTCTTAATGTTTGTATCATTATATTTATGTTTTTATACTGTTGTTGTATTATGCAGGGCTTTCTTGAAGAGCAGGTCCAATGTCCCGTGGAACTAAATGAAACTACCCTGTTGAAAGAAATCATGAATAAATAAAAGGTTACTCTCAGTTATTTCATGAGATTATTACATTCATGTGGTTTGATAAATCTCTTTCAAGAGCGACTGTTGGTTGTAGGGTGTAACACTTTTTTTTTCAAAGAAAAAAGGGTAATATATTCGACAGAAAAATAAAGAGGCATACCCTGGACGAAAATACTATGGTTTTAACTTTCCTCATTTTTTTAAACGAGCATTTAAACAAAGCTTGTTTTGCAGGTTTATTACGAAAGGATATGAAGCTTGTCTTCAACCTAAAAGTGAAATATGAATGTAATTGATATCTGCTGTTGTGGTCATCTAAACCATAGGGGGAAATGAATGGATAGTTGTATAAATGTACATGATTTGGAAGATATAGTTTAAGCCACATGTGGTATGTCATAATAGCACTTTTGTCAAGAGCCACCGCCACTGGTTTGAAAATGCAGCTTAATCCACATGCTATAGACTCTTGGTCGTCATGATGATTTTGTAAACAAATATTCTTTCTTCTTCATTCAAATTATTAGATCGAATATGATGAATTATTCCACCCCAGTTATGACCTCGACGGCGTCCGTCTCAGGACCATCATCATGGACGTCGACGCTCGAATCCAAGGCGATGTCGAATTTGATGACGGGCCTAGTGACAAACGTTAACGCCTTAAGTGGCATTGGAAACGAGACGCCAACTACGATAGGACCAAGCAGCCTGGTCGTCCCTGTATCAAGAACAACGTATAACTACCTAACAGTCTATACAGGGTTTCTGACCATCTTCGGTATACTCAACAACGGTATTGTGATGATTCTCTTCGCTCGATTCCCTTCGTTACGTCATCCCATCAACAGCTTCCTGTTCAATGTCAGTCTCAGTGACCTCATCATATCATGCCTGGCTTCACCCTTCACCTTCGCATCCAACTTCGCAGGCCGATGGCTGTTTGGAGATCTAGGATGTACCTTATATGCCTTCTTAGTGTTTGTTGCTGGTTAGTAAAGCGTTTTCTTTTAATTTCTTATTCCTGGCTTCCTCAACAAGAAGACAACAAAGCATGTCACCCATAATCCTTTGTTGTTAAAGGTATGGTTTATATCTAACTTAGTTGATATAAGTCCTTCCCGAGCCTAAAAAACACATGTAGAGCCATTATGATTATTATGTCCATGAATATTTCAGATTCTCTTTACTGGGGTAAAAAAAATCTCTTTTGATAAATTTGAATCTCTAAATTCAATATTGAACGTCAATGCTTCATCATAAAATCCAGATATGATAAATAGATTATGGGAAAGATGATCCCTGAAATAATGGTACCTTTCAGTCAAACGTTTTTGGTTTAAGGCTGTTGTTGTTGTGTGGGCGTGTGTGTGGGAGAGGTGCAGGTTGCATGACTGCAGACGTAAATTCATAAATCAACTGGTGGTTCAAATCAATTATTGAATATACTTTACAGAGCCAATGCAAATGATACCTGGGCCCCGTCTTATAAGCAGTTAATTAATCGTAACTTATTTGCAATTGATATCAATCGCAGCTATGTACAAAAGAGATATATAGAAGACTGACTCCTTCGATTGATTAGAAGACTTCCGACCGATTCGAATCAATCGCAATCGCAACTCTTTTTAAGGAGGGGCCCTGATGTGCACTTTGCTCCAATTCAAGGGTGTCGATTTGTATCCGTGGTTGGGGGGATAATAGGTGCCCAAATTTTTCGGCAATGGATCAAAGCAATCAAGAGGTAGAAGCGTGTGGCAAGTTGCACCCCTCCCAAGCGCGTAGCCAGGATTTCATTTTAGGGGGCGGTAGTGAGCACGTGAGCACGCGTAGCGCGGAAGCTCTGACGTTACATCAGATCATTAAAGAAAGAAGACGATTCGATGTACCATTCTCGACTCTTAATCCTTAATGTTTGAATCAAGTTCCCCTCCCCCTTATGACGTTTCATTAGATTATTAAAGAAAGAAGACGATCCTATGTACCATTCTCGTCTCTTAATCCTTGTCTGAATTCATTTTCGCCCATTCCTGCGCGAAGCGCGGAAGCTTTCACATCAGAGAAAGACGATTTGTTGTATCGTGTCCTTCATGAATTCAGTTTCTCCCCTACCGCGCGAAGCACGGAAGCTTTGACGTTTCACTAAATTATAAGAGAAAGAAGACGATTCGTTGGACCGTTCTCGACTCTTAATCCGTGTGTGAATCAAATTCCCCCTTCCCCGCGCGTAGCGCGGAAGCTCTGATGTTTCATTAGATGATTAAAGAAAGAAGACAATCCTGTGTACCATTCTCGACTTTAATCCTTGTCTGAATTCATTTTCGCCCATTCCTGTGCGAAGCACGGAAGCTTTCACATTAGTGAAAGGAGACGATTTGTTGTATCGTGTCCTTCATGAACTCAGTTTCCCCCCTACCGCTCAAAGCGCGGAAGCTTTAACGTTTCAATAAATTATTACTCTTAATCCTTGTCTGTATTCATTTTTGCCCATTCCGCGCTTAGCGCGGAAGCTTTCACGTTTCATTATATTATTCGTAAAAGAAGACGCTTCGTTGTATCGTGTACTTTGACGTTTCATTTGATTATTACGCTTAATCCACGTCTGAATTCAGTTGCCCCCTAACAGCTTTGCCCTTTTCACTGAATTATTAGAGAAAGAAAACGATTCGTTGTACTGTTCTTTATGTTAATCCTTGTCTGAACTCAGTTTCCCCACTGAAAATAATTTGTGTTACAAATAAGTTGTGACATAATAATCTTTCTCCAAAAATGAAAAATCTTTTAGGAAATATCAGGAAATAAAATGAGTGAAAAAAACAAAAATAAAGATACAATGACGTGAATTTTAAAAAGGGTGAACGGAAACAACATAACAACTAGAGAACTATTTTATAAGTCATACTAATGTCCGAAAATCTTTCTCCTTGTCTCCGATCTCATCATGGTATCGTCACAGAGTTCATCTATGTTTACACTGTCCAGGATTGTATGATGTGCATTGCAGATTGCTATTTTTGCGCTTTGCGCTAAACATTTAGCTCGTTGCTTTTTGACGCTGCGTCTTTGCATTTGGCGCACTGCATTTCTATGATGCTGTTGATTGAACAAATTAAATAAATTCATCAATTCCTGATGAAGCCGTTTGAGCGAGAATTCAATTTATTCTTGTCTCATATACGGTTGTCTTATTTACTTCGTATATATGTATGTATTATGAAAATGAGATAGCAAAATGCGTATATTGATGGTCATCTTGCGAGTAATAACCATTAACTACTCTCATCGGGCTCTCATCCTTAATTTTTCTCTTCATTTTTGTTTTGTTTTGATGGTGAATTATTGGGGGGGGGGGGATGATTGTACAGGCCATCCCCCCACCTGAAATATTGGGGGGATATATCCCCACCCCCCCCCCGGGATCGACACCCATGCTCCAATTCTAGACCAAAACACTTTTGCGCAAACTAACTTTCGCGAGTTTTTGGAAATTAGCACAAAAGTGTAAAATAATTTCAATAATTTTAGTGCCATTTGATTTCAATAGAAAAAAACATGGAGATAATCGTGAAATGATAATTTTTGATTAAATTTCGAATTGTGTATATTTTTTGTATGTGCCCTGTAGATAAGAGTGACGCTAAACTATTAATGTTTTGCTTCGTCATTAAAGAATCTATGGACTTCCAATGAAAAGCACTTTTTTAGCATGATTTTCCGTTAAAGTGATATCAAGTCCGTTTAAGACTAGGAGAGGCAGTAAGAAAATGATGATGAAATGCGCTATTTCCTCCTTGGTCAAAGTTCTTTTTTCTTCTTCTTTCTCTTCGTTGTCTTCGTCGTCATCGTCTTCTTCCCCCCCCCCCCCATCCTCTTCCTTCTCCTCCTGCTCTGCCACTCCTCCTCCTTTACCCACCATACTTCAAAGTTTGTTTTGTTTCATACTGAAAGCTATTTGGTTATCTTTTATTATCCTACAATTTAATTATCATCACTTTAGTGCATGGTTGATTGACGACAAGAAACTTATTTCGACCAAGTACGAATTGTGTATGCTTTCAATGGCCTACCTGAGATTCTTGGGTTCTATGTCCCACAGTGCAAAATGAATGTAAAGGTATAGGTGTCTTACTCGAGGGATACGAAGGTTGAGAGTTCGAGATCCAGCACGGCGCTCAAGTCCTTTGGCAATAAATTGATCTAAATTTCCCATTCTCTACCCAGGCGTAGTAATACCTATAAAGATTCATTACCTGAAAATGAATGCACTCTTCTTTCTGAGAATTGTTGCAGGGTCTAACGCTTGGATAATAATAACCAAAGCTCTTTGGAAGCACACAAGGACGTTGTATGATCGTATCCCAACGTGATATGCTCTTTAACGGTGTATCATCAATTGTATTGTCAGTAAACAGTCCTCGTCGTCTAATCCTTCTTCTCTAATTAGGCACTGAGCAGATTGTGATCTTAGCTGCTCTCTCAATACAACGATGTATGTTGGTAGTGCGACCATTCACGGCCCAGAAGATGACACATCGGTGGGCTTTATTCTTCATCTCTCTGACATGGATATACTCTCTTATCATCTGTGTACCTCCTCTCTTCGGGTGGAATCGTTACACTTATGAGGGTCCAGGGACAGGTACGTCTCAATATTTTTGCTTTTAGGATATTCATTCAAATATGTGTGGACGCACGAAACTTTATTAACGGTTATCATAGTCATATCACAGCATAATAACAGTCTCTATGGTATTTAACGATAGGTTTTTGCAAATTAATGTTTTGGACCGACATTCAACGGCACTGTTCGTCCAAAAGACGCGACTCATATACTAATCTGCCCCGGCTTATAAGAAGTCCAGGGTACTCGGACTAACAAACCTATTCTCATCTTCATCTGACAATGACTAAGAGCGTAAAAGGCTTATTATTTAGATCAGTCCTATCTATGTGGCATCATTGAGCCCAGTGACAGAGCCCCCTCTGCGACAATCAGTTTACTTTACTCAGTGATGTCCTCGCATTACGATAAATGAATACGCTCGTCCAAAGTTGATCAACATTATATTATGAAGCCAGCTCTTCTATCAAAAATCAAGTATGTCCAATACAATTTTTAAAATTTTAATTCATACACATAACAAGGAGGTTTATGGAAGCTAAGTCACAAATAACTGTATTAAAAAGCAATAATCATCATTGTTTGCATCCATCCATCCTCCTCCTCATCACCATAACCATTATTACTTTTCTCCTCCTCCTCCTCATTATGTTCCCCATCCTCTTTCTCTTCATCCTCCTTCTCCTTCGTTTTCTTCTCCCCTTTCTTTTTCTCCCTTCCTTCTTCTTCTCCACCTCCTCCTTGTCGTGCATCATCTCTTCATCTTACATCTATTGTCTACACGTACGACACAAACTGTAGGGACCTAACTCCGTGTATCTCTTTTATCCTCTAGCGTGTTCTGTAGCTTGGAACTCCCCTTCCCCTGGCGATACCAGTTACATCATCTTCATCTTCGTATTGGTTCTCGTCATCCCTTTCGGCATCATCATCTTTTGTTATGGACTCCTTGTCTACGCAGTCAAAAAAGTAATGTTTTCATGTTGTTATATCCACCCTTTATACCTTTTCACCTTTGATTATGTTTTAAGCAAGGATGAAATATTTATTTTTAAAATACATTTAATGGTCAAATGGTCTTAGAGCAATGTGAACGTGATTGACATCGAGAAATAAAACCCAGGTACATCACCTGGAGGGGGGGGGGAACCTAATACAATCTAACATTATCTGATTAGTATGAACGAATTCAACTCCTCGTTTCGATGCAGATATCGCGGACCCAGGCTGCCCTGTCATCAGAAGCTAAAGCAGATCGTAAAGTTAGCAAGATGATCTTCATCATGATTCTGTTTTTCCTCATCGCATGGACGCCTTACACGGGTTTCTCCCTCTACGTCACCTTCGGGAAGAATGTGGTGATTACTCCTCTAGCCGGCACCTTCCCACCATTCTTCGCCAAACTATGTACTATACACAATCCTATCATCTACTTTCTTCTTAATAAACAGGTGGGAACATTTTATTTGTGGTAGTTATAATGAATTTTCATTGACATTGTATATAAATAATTTTTGCGAAATATAAGTGCATTAAATATAAACAAGCTTTTGAAATTACATTTGTTTACATGCAAACGATATGAATATAGGATAAATATGCAAATATGCATTATTTCAATTGGAAGCAGGAAAAAACTTCTTATCACATTGTTTTGTATTACTCCAAAAAATGTATAAGATCTTGATATATTCACAAATTGCTATTATCTTTCAAGGTTTTAACGAGCCTATAATTGAAATATTCTGTTGGCAACTACCCCACTGGACCCCCAGGCTGTTATCTATACATCTGAAAACCATCCCTTGGGATAACGATTCCCTAGATTGATAACCCGGACACTCGGACAGCTACTCCTGGAAATTTCTCCTCGGAAAACTGTCTTGGGGGGCAGTTATCCGTACTAATTATCCCATGGGTTGTTATCCGATGGGACAAGAGTCATTTATACACAGAGTTAGTCAAACTTGGTTTAAGTTGGTTACAACATGGCGCACAAAGCAGCATTCATTCGTCGATATTGTGCCCGACCAATTTGGCTAAACTCTCATAAGCAATTGCACAGTATGGGAGATACGGTCACCCAATGCTATGATAGAAAATGCGATTTGTAGGATTGAATTTTCAGTCCAAAATAAAGGATTATTGAGATATTGTCGATGGTGAGGGTCAAAACAGCACATTTTGTAATAGGTTTGCAATTGTTATGAACGGTGATATAATGTTACAATATGGAAAATGCCAAAATCACCGTTCATAACAATTATTGTAAACCTATAGCAAAATGTGCCCTGAAATATCCTTTCTTTTACGACGATGACATTTCCTTTGCCGTCATTACAAGAACGAAAAAAAAACAACATTGAAACAATCTTTTCATTAGATTTTAAACTTTGTGATTTCTTCAGGTCATGCTCGGTCATATTCACGTGTGATCCTAACGTTTCCAGGGTTTTACCCAAATCTGTCACAAATGGAATTTGACATGCCATTTTCAAAGCAGTGTTGCTCATTGAAGCGTGTGTGTATCGATGTAATCAATGTATCATTATTTTGTAAGCATATTACTTGTACTTTATGATAATCAAGGAATTATATTCATACAGCTTATGGTTTGTTCACAATAAACGTTTGATTTGGGGGTTTGTTTTTTCCAGGACGCACGGTATAATATTCCACTCTTTATATTTGTTTTAGAAGGTATGATCGTGAGTCAACAGTGCATTTGCTATGTCGAGCGGTAATAATGAAGGGGAAAAATCAATATTTTGTACTAATGATTGATCCAACCTTGTATTGACGAACATTCTTTTGTTTCTGTTTTCTTCGGCATTAGTTTAAGGACGCTCTCATACAGCTCTTTTGTTGTGGTGAAAACCCATTTGACCGTGATGAATCGGAACACGAAGGGCGCGGTGGACGACATCGACATCGAACTGCACCTTCAGCAACAGCTCACATTGGTGGACGAGGGCGAGCATCAAGCCTGCCGACTGCTACATCCATGCTTGATATCCCACAGGCGGCTTCAACCGCCGCGTCATCATCGGGAAAGACACAGAATAAAGAGAGCCTGGAAAAGGGACCTTCCACATCGGAGACAACGAACAAAAGAGTGTTTGAACTCTCGTCTAAGATTCAAAAGTTCGAAATATCTGAGAAAAACAATACTCCGTCATCCTCGGAACTACCGGGGGCGTCATCATTGTCGGGAGCATTGATGCCTCCGAGGAGAGCAATGAAAAACCAAGTCGGTTGCTTACCGCCTGTAGATAACTGAACTAAGTAAAAACTTAAAATAAGTGAAAGGTGACCGTTGCCTTCTGTGTTGAACAATAACAATGTTGCAACAAACACTAATAAGCTAGTGCAGGTGGTTCACTGCCTTATTTATAACTTCATTATGAATGAATCACAAACCATATCTACGCTTCATTTTCGCATGTTGGCATATTTGCAGTGTTTCCACTCTTCCTGAAATTTATGAAATCTATGAAAAAAGAAGGAAAATCAAGAAAAGTCAAAAGAATACTAAAAACAGTGAAGAAAAAAAAATGTTTTGTCATATGTTGAGCTTTAGTATTTTAGAAATGTATAGTGTTTCCCCATTGGCCTATTAATTAGGTATAATTTGTCTTTGCAAGCTTTGCTCGCTGCTAGTTTGAAGTTTAAAATTTGATATTTCTGGTGCAACAAAATACGTAACTATGACGTTAGCCTAGCTCTCTTGCCATTCTTGAAAGAAAAACAAAAAAATATGGCACGTCTTAGAGGCATTAAAAAAAAATCCCCAAAATCCATAAAAATCCAGGAAATCTTATTTTGACGAGTGGAAACATTGCATACTTGTAAATAAGTAGAAGGTCCTTCACAAACACCACACCCTCTACTTCTCTCCCTTATGTTTTCTATGTTCCAAGAACCTTGAGCGAGCCAGGGACGAAGAACACAAAACTAAACCACAATACAATCATGGTCACCACTTTACCTTGTGGCTTCTCAACATTACAGCTTATGTTATTGGAAATGAGAATTAAATGACGGAACTTGAGTTTCGCGGTGTAAACAGTATGCTGTTGTTAATCCCATAATCTTGTTGGTGACTTTATACACTTTTTCTGTTTCATAGAGAGGAAAAAGTGAATGAAGTTACTAACAAGTTTATGGAATTAACAACAACGCTTTGACGATGGGTGATATTACTTGTTGACATATTCTTGGTATAATAAATATTCAAAATTGATTTAATAGAAAAATCGACATTCTTTTTGTAGGATATTATTGTGGCGTAGCGTCTGAGCGCAGCAATTTCAAGGGCACTTGTCGGTGGGGGCTGGGGAGGTATTTGTCTGACTAGTATTTGGATGAAATGCGACAGAACAAAATCGAGTACGTGGAGGTCGTTCTCAATCTTATTTCACGTTGCCATGCCATTTCTTTGTTATTTCTTTCTTTATCCCGTGACTACATTAGTATAATATTGCATAAAACGCTTAAACTTCAGAAATAAACTAGGTTTCGTCTGAAGTGCACTCGGTCTACACTTGAGATAATTTTATGAAATGTATGTATTGTTATCTGTTTCTCCTTATTGTTTAAATCTTATTTATATAGATTTGATGAGCCAATACGTATATAAGAAAATGAAAAGCAATTGCACCATTCTATATACATGTATTATCTGTTATGTTTATGGAATAAACGGTAAGTGATTGAGAAGGTTTCGAGTGAATAGTGAATAAAAGCATCGAAAATGCCCATCATGATTTTACAAAAGCGACTCCTATGTCTAGTCTGATATAACGGTAAAGGGTTGATGGCGGACTATTTCAGAAAACTTAATGATCCCAATCGAATCACCAGTGACCCGGCCATTTAAAAACGTTTATACATGCACCTGAATGAAAGTGGGTAGGCCTATAGTTCCGATCTTTTTTATGACTGGGCAAGCCAATAAGCCAGTTCACGGTTGCAGTCTGAGCATGAGCAGATAAAGGTCATTGCAGAACAAATTTTGAAATACACTGAGACGAAATACTGGATACGTGCTCATGAATGTTATGTAACATTATTCATTCATGCACATTTAGTGCACTCCATGGTACACAGGTGAAAGTATTCTTTGAAAAGGGGGAACAAAGGCTATTTATAAAAGCACCTCCATCGCTATAGGAGTGATTATTTCAAAATGTATAAAGTGGGACCTCTTCATGTTTTGAAGATCTGTGGATATTCGGGGTCATTGCAGTAAGGTGCTAACCGTGAACTGGTCTATTGTGCTGGCAGGGGATCCAGTCATGCGAAGAATTAAGAAGAAGAAAAAAAACAATGGAACAAAATAATTTAGGTAACGTTTTTAGCGTGTACATAAATCCTATTCCTACTAATGTCTTATAAAAAAAAATGTAATCATTATTTTTCAGATATAATGTTTAATTGCTTTTTTGTAAATGACATACTTTGATGAGTAACCGCTCTAAAACTGTGGATTAAATGAAATTCGAAAGGTTTACACTTCATTACAAATTCTATCTCAACGACCTTTAAGATGCTTGGAAGTCAGAGATTACAACAACAAAAGCACACTTTTGATTTGAAAAGGCATTAGAGTTTTAGTTTGAAAACAATAATGATTATTCAGTAATTAATCAGTGCCTTGAAGAAAATGAAACTTCAATTTATTTGGTAAAGGTAGAGACCAGTTATGGTCATGCGATTGCATTGTGAAAGAAACGTTGTGGAATTTGATCAGAAAAGGTTGATCATCTAGCATCTAGCATCTGCAAGGTTCTGGAATCATCAAAATGATAAGAAATTTGGCCCATTCTTCGTAAAGTTACAAGCACTATACACAGAAAGATGTATATGGGACTACCCTATATCTCTCACAAACCATGAGAGAAAAAAATTTACCAAATATATGAATTAGTAGGCGGTTTCCCGGCAAATTTTTTTATCATCATGTATTAGTCAAAACATATTCTTTCACATGATTGGTAATGAGAGCTTCCATTTCATTTTTTGAAATTGGGGCGTTTCATTTTTGTTTAGATATAAAGCTGCAAGTTCACAGTATGTTTCAAAGGAAAAGGAATGCGTGACCATTTCTTAGGTTCTATACGTTCGTCTATAACACAAGAAGTATATAGCGGAAACCAGAAGGAATTAACCATGAGATGATTATTTCTTGCATAATAACGGTGTTTTTCGTTGGTATACGTTTATCGAGTCCAAGTTTAAAACGAAATTAAGGCAAGCATTGAACAAACAAACAACAACAAAAAAGAACAAGAACAAAAACGCAAACAGACAAAGGAGAGAAAAATTCCATTTCGAAAAACTTATGACAGTACCAGTCATTTCATTGCTTGAAACTGCCCCCCCCCCCCCCTACGCACAATTAACGGGCAAAAGGCTATGCTTGGTTCGTTTAGAAAGTAACTTTTACGTGTATTGTCAGAATGTAGAGTTACAGACAGAAAGCAATAATTGGGTTGGAATTATATTAATGGAAGCATTGCATAGATTTTAGTTTCTATGTACATATGTATACTGTTTAAATTAAAGCAAATGTAAATGAAGACGCGTCATATATTTCATCACGTTAACGTTGTAAGAATATAATTTTTACATTTATTATATCGAAATAACAGCGCTGCCGCATTGTCAAAATATCATCAATTACCGTTTAACTCGTTGCACACCGTGCGTCATTAGGGACTTTTAGATGTACACGTCGACATAGTGGTCTGCTACGTGCGTGCCTTAAAAGGACGTCACACGTAGCAGTCCTATTTGTCTGACGTATGTCTTTGACGCACCATGTTAACGCATGTGAAGTGACATCGTATGTAGTTCAGACCTTGAGTTCATAAAAGACGTCCCACATTGTGAGCCCCTCTTGAGTGTCCATTCGTTCATTCTGAACAAAATATTTTTTGTCAGGAAAGCAGGGATGCCCCCAACCCGCCCCCCCCACCTTTGTTGTTCTGTGGAAACGTGGATGGAAAGTAAAAGAATTTTTGAAAGCATTTGCAAGGAGCCTTTTTTGTAATCACATAATAAAGGCATTCTAAAGAATGATACTAAACTGGTACTTGTTGCTAGTTTGTTTAATTGGTTTGTCTTTAAGCGTTAAATACCCCCTCGCCCTTCTAAGGTGCTTCATCAAGAATATAAGTAGATCTTGATCATGTTTATACATGTACTGTACGCCAAAACATCCCTTTTTATATCGTGGATCTCATTACAGAATTACTTCGGATATTAATTTGAACAGTAAAAGTTTGGAATCATGATGGAAGTTTGGAATCAAACGAGAATTGAAAAAGAACAAAAATTGAACAGAATTCTGCGGTCTGTACTAAGGGGCAGAGAATGTCCTGAAGAAAAAAACCCTGTTATAACTAGGGTGGGCGTACTTCATTGCAAAGATTATAAGCTGGTTGAATTGAACTATTTCCGGTGACAAAATAATGATACCCGTTTATTGTCAGATTTCCCTTAGGTAAGAAGAGTGACATGATTATTGAAATGAGGCTCATGCATGTCTTTATTAACATTTCAAATGTTATTTTGTTTGGGTTGATGAATAGGGTGCACAGGAGTTGTACAAAACAAACAATTAGGTAAACAAACTTATAGCATTGTGAAGTTTATTGCTTATTTGACAATGAATTCATGATTATAAATCGTGTGGAGAAAAGGAGACAATCTGTCTTAAAACATTATTTATAACGTTTTATATAAAAAAATGTATTGTAAATATATTTATGACATGATGAATGAATTTGATAACATATGCTTTTGTATTGTATACAAGTACTTTGATTATTTAAGGGATCTTGTTAAAGATATTTATTGGACAACACTGCCTTTTTATACGAATGATATTCATCACTTTATTGCACATTGTCAATGAGACGAAAAACGAAGAATTGTATGATTATATCAATAAATGGCCCGATGATTTCAAATTTCAGTTCGTATTATTTATTTGTGTTTTGGACTAATTTAAAACCGAAAAGCAAGGGAACAAAAATAGTGAATAAGAGACAAAAGATAGATAAAGAATAGCAACAAATACCAAATACGGACATACTAAACTTTTCGTCTTGCACTTATCGTTAGTAAATCGAAAGGAAGACAAAAGAACACGGAATGACTAACATGTACACATCATTAAACGCTCTCTCTCTCTCTCTTTATACTACCGTTTATTCTATCTCACTATTATCTGCAATGTTCTCTTATCATTTTGCAATTCTCTCTCTCTCTCTCTCGCTCTCTCTGTCTCCCTCTTTCCATTCATTTCGTGATTATGTTTATTGTTTTTTTTAAGGGGGCGGGGGTAATATTTTCTTTGACGTGCTCAAACATCCCTCGAATGAAATTTAATGATATTAAAAATTTGACACTCTATTTCCTTTGTAGTGAATATTAATTATTGTAATGATCGAGATTGAGATTCAAGAGGAGTTGAGGGAATGTTTCTTTGTAAACATACCTAAGATGATTAAAAGACTTCGTGAGTGTGAGAACACGAGATGGAAAGGATGAATACATGATAAGAATAAAAGATTATAATTCACTCAATGAATTTTTATTCAAGTATACAATCAAAATGATATCAATTTTTATTCAAGTATACAATCAAAATGATATCAATTTTTATTCAAGTATACAATCAAAATTATATCAATTTGTATTCAAGTATACAATCAAAATGATATCAATTTTTATTCAAGTATACAATCAAAATGATATCAATTTTTAATTCAAGTATACAATCAAAATGATATAAATTTTTATTCAAGTATACAATCAAAATGATATCAATTTTTATTCAAGTTTACAATAAAAAATGATATCATTTTTTTTACATCATAATATTCTGAATTAAGAAAAAACCTTTGCACTTTCATAATCACACACAGATGACTGTCATTCTACATTTAAAACAAAAATCACTGCAGTGTGTATAAATTCAAAACAACCATTGTGAGTTTATATATATATATATATATATACAATGCCAAATCAATGAAGAAAATTCGTGAAATAGAATGTAAAAAAATGATGTTTCGGTGAGGATTGGCTACCCCTCAATCAATTACAATATTATAAGGATACGTTCAGTGAGCGTATACTTTCAGATTGCCGAGGAAGTGATAGTTTGCCATCGCCTAAAACCAAAAGGTGATTATTTGCTTTATATTCCACGTCGGAAACATTTCACTTCTTCCGTCATTTTAGAGCAACAAGTCATCATTTAATTAACAGCTAGCTAGCAAACGGTGTACGATATGTACAGTGCATGCAGTATAGTATGGTGGTGTGACCATATATAGTTCGCGCGTTACCAAAGTTCGCGTACCAACACTAAAAGCGCTTAAAGAGGAGAGCAATACGCAGCGTATACAATTAAAGTGCGTTGCACTGTGTAGATAGTACTTTTTTCTTCAGTGAAAGTGCGTTGTACTGTGTAGATAGTATTACTATATACACAGTGCAACAAACTTTTCTTCTCCCATCAATGATGGGCAAACTATCTTTCTTCACGTGATTTACTTTTGACCAATCGTAGAGAAAGATTCTTAGTATGTGGAATATAAATAAATAAATAAATATATATACATATATAGAAAGGCAGCGATAAAGATCCAGGGGCAAAGGGAGAACAAGAGAGAGAGAGAGAGAGGGATAAAGACAGGGAGAGAGTGTGTGTGGGAGGGGAGGGGAAGGAGAGAGAGAGAGAGAGAGTGATAAAGACAGGGAGAGAGTGTGTGTGGGAGGGGAGGGGAAGGAGAGAGAGAGAGAGAGGGATAAAGACAGGGAGAGAGTGTGTGTGTGTGGGAGGGGAAGGAGAGAGGGAGAGAGAGAGAGAGTGTGTGTGTGTGTGTGTGTGTGGGAGGGTAAGGGAGAGACAGAAAAGAGAGAGAAAAGAGAGAGAGAAAGAAAGAGGAGAGGTGGATGGAATAAAAGAAGGACAGCGTTGAGTGAAGGTGAGGGATGTTTTGTAAATTGGTTTTCGAGAGTCATTATCATCATACTTATTTATGATACCAAAAACCACCAACCATGTTCTAAATAGAAGTGAATATCGCAAAAGTTTGTCAGAGGAGGTGAATAATGTCTTGTGAACATCAAGGTATATATTGACTCTACTTTTACCTTTGCGAATAAATTAATGTTTGCACTGAAACAATATAGTAATTGCTTTTAGTATGATATCAGTTTACTGCGTACAATATTTATAACCTTACTTTTCCCTCTGTTTTACACACTTCATTTTTTTTTATCATAACCTAAAATTTCTAATGACGAGAGCAAAATTGTACAAGTTTATGATTAAATTTTATAAGAACAATTCAATGTTCACAAATCTGTTCGTCAGATAGATCAATGATATCAATTGTTTGTTTCACGTTTCTGCTAAGAAAGCATTACATTGTGTTTGATTGTAAATAAGCAACCAGTGGACCAACGACTTTACGTCCTCTCCGAAGAACTTGTTAATGAGGTTTAATGCCTTATTACCAAAAGGCACTAGCGCATCGAATTGGTTTCGAACCCGGGCCTCCCGGTTACGAGACAACTGCTCTTCCATTGAGACATCATGTGGGGTTATCTGTCCATAATATCACGGTTGATCAAATTACTGACAAAAATGCAATTCATCGTCGAATAAAATCAGTCTAAGGAATGAAAATGTAGATTGAGTTAGTCCACGTTGATCTAGCTACCAATGTTTAAATATAAAATGCATATGATTTTATTCTTCAATGAGTTCAGTCACAGTCCAATGATTTGGACTTTTGAATACCACCAAGGTCCCTTCTCTTTGATCCAGCATTCATCGCGGCCTTCATGGTTAGCAGTTCGGATGTTGTTCTTTCCTTCGTAAGATTGCCCATGATTTTCTTCAATCTGCCGTTGGTTGTCTTTGCGTTTGCCCGGGCTTCAAGACTCGAAACAGCAGATGTCATATTAATGCTTCCTGGTGCTGCTTGTATCAAAAGCTGACTCTTCCTTTGCATGATTCTTTCCTGGAGTTCTTCTTCTACTTCCTCTTCAATGTCACCATTTGAACGCTGGTTCAAGTTTCTGTTGTAGAAGGGGCGTGGACTGGATGATGATGCCCGTATATTGCTCTCTCCCGATGCCGAGGCCGCAAAAGCAGCTAACGACCCCATGCAAATAGTGCCCCTTCGATTCCGCAATCTTGACATTCTCCGTGTCTCATCGTCGGTGTGGTTGGTGGTCGATGACGTTGACTCCTGCTCGGATGTTACGGAGGCTGTATCACTTAGTGAAATTCCCAAATCCACTGAGCACGAACCGCGCCGCTGAAAGACAGGACGTCCACAAACCAAAGGAGATGCTGACAGATGTCTTGGAGAAGAAAGTGATTCACTCTTCCTTGACATGACGTCAGAAGGTGGCGACGATCCCATGTCGATAACATCTCCTAACATTGCATCCAAGCGGGCTGCATCACCACCGTCTAACAAACTTATTGTCTGGATTAAGAGAAATCAAAACAAAAAGAAAAGAACTGTTTTCAGTTTGCTTCAATAAACGTTCAATAGACATCTTGTGGTCTCGTGAGATCTGCATTATCAACACAACGGCCCAGTTAATCTATTGTCGTAATCCAAGAAGGACATAGATTGCAATTATTGATTTATGTTTTCTTTCGAAGGAATGAATGAGCACATGACCGTAAGAAGCGGAGCTAATCAATCTTTCTTCCTTAATCAATTATTTTCATTGTGTTTAGAGGTTAAAAGAGCATCGACAAAGACATACCATTACTTTGCAATTTCACGTACCATGCCTACCGATTCAGCGTCTGATCAAAAATAAAACATTGCCATAAGAATAATTACTGCAATCACTCCACTGGTCTGGTATCATGATTGAGTGGTTTATCATGTTTTACAAGTATATTAAATCAGACAAAGCGCGAGAGAAGTCATCTTTGACGCGTGTCCATGTAATTCATTGACATTATGTTTATGGGATCTGATCAAATTTGAGCTTACCACTAGATTTTCTTCTCAAGTACAACAGAAACCACTTGAAGATTATCTTTGCTATTATCATTTCCATGGTATATTTGTGGTTGGTTTAGTGGTGGTGCTGCTGGATACGATGGTTTATTTTCCTTCTTCTTCTTTGATACACAGATGCAATATAAATATACTCTTTGATGATTTAAGTATGGTTTCCATATACAATTGATATGTGTTTTAATATAAGATTTTAATGACTGAAAAAAATATATTAATACATGAATGATAGAATAAATATATAAATAAATATATTGATCAATATATGAATGAAATAAAGAATGGATAGACAAATAAATGTAGGCATTTATTCATGTACATATTCATTAATTAAAAAATGCCCACATCTTAAAGTTTTAACGTCTTAGCTTAAACTATATATATTAATAAATTTCAATTCCAAAAGATTTCAAGTAATACATTATAATTTATCCGTTTTTCCGTTTCGGTTTAATAAAATTTGGAGTGGACTTATTAGGCTATTATTATTATTATTATTAGTAGTAGTATTATTATCACGAAGCAAAACTCAATTCCACGACGTCTGAAGTTTTCTTTGGCAGTATATCGTACGAATATCTTGTGTCAAACTTACTTTTTTTAAATTTTTTAATAAATAAATTAGTATATTTTACTTTTTCTTTTCTTGGAACTTCGTTCCTCTGAACATTACATGTATTGTTTAAATGTGTTGGAAATGCAAATAATTTTAAATTAGATTTAGAATTACTGATCCTTATTTAGTGAACAAATGAGAAATATCTTCTTCCATCAGTGAATTTCCACTTTGACAGAAATCAAATTGATTTAAATCAAATGTAACGTTTTTAAATGGTACAAATTTCAATACAAATTTCAAATATGTTTGAATATTAGGTAATTCATCTGGACGAAAGTTGAATAGTAATATGTTTTTTTGCTAATGCCTTATATTGATATGTCGTATCGGTGCGACACGATCTGACCTAAATACAATCATATGAAATCAAATCAGCGCTAGCACATAAAATACACTGGAATAAAATCTCTGTTGATATCAATAGGTTTCTAAAAACTAAGACCTGTTCTCACTTTATATTATGTATGTGTATGTTTTATATACCTTTGTATGTAAGCCTTGTTAATCTATGATTTATGTTTCTTTGTAAAATTTTGATTGCTTTTATGCATGCACGGCCATGCTGAAGTATACCACCGTGCTAAAATAAAATAAACGAACAAACAAACCTCGATTGTGTCTGGTTGCGAAGCATCTGATCCAGTTTCAGAGGTAATCGAAGATCTCCTGGATAACGATGGTCGAGCTAGACTATGATTGGCTCTGATAGGTGCGGGCGACATCCTCGGACTGTTTTGCCTCGACTTCACTGATGATGGTGACGGAGAACTATCTCTGCTTCCACCGATCTTCAAGTTGGCGATGGCTTTCGATCTCTCCCTCATCAAAACTTCGAGCTTGTGTCGATTGGCTTGTAGAGTGCTGGTCACTGATGTTCTCTTGTTTACTTTACTTGGTGAAGATGAATCAGTAGACTTAACTGGAGAGCTCCTCTGTGGAGATGGCGATGGGGGATGAGGAACGGTAAGTTGAGAACTAGGTGTTATTGGCAAAGAGAAGCGACGTCTTGATAGGGCACGAGCGATTGCAGGGTTTCCACCTGTAACATCAATTTTAGGCCTAGATGATGAGTTCTGTGATTCAGTTTCGAGTTCCTGGGATGATGATGTGTTTGTCACTTCTAAATTGGATTTTAAAGACGTCTTTTCACTGTTTGCCGGAGGAGCAGGGGAGATGGGTCTACTTGGAAGTAGTGGATAGCGGCTTGGAGACAGAGACATTCTTCGTGATCGGTCAAACTTTGGTGGTGCAGGACTTAAACATCTATTATCTGGAGCTAGACTCGCTCTTCTTCCCATTCTTGCGCGTGCTGGAGGGCAAGCAGCAACAGTTCGTGCAACCACCGTCCATTTGTACCTGCTCTTTATTCCCTTCTCACCTTCTTCTAAATTGTCAGTGTCTCTCCCATCATCGGATTCGCTAATTTTGCTGTTGTCACTTTCATGATTGATTTGTTCTTCACTTTCTTCGCCGTTGACGAAGCTGAGGGCCTTCTGCGCTTCGGGACTGGCAAACATGCTTAAAGAAATTTCAGGCACCACTGCCGGTTTCAGAACCGTAGGTTTCACAAGAGTATGCTCCTCAGAGTCATTCCTTTTAGAAAGACCTCCTTCACCATTTCTGATACCTGCTGCAAAGGTAGGTAGTTCCTTGTTCTCTACGATTCTCATTGTGTCCGATCTGTCAGTAAACTTGATGTAGAATGAAGATGACACGAGTAGATTATTTTTATGTGTTAACTCGACAAGATTCAGAATTGAAATGAGCAGGTCAATCTCTTCCAAACGTTCCCTATATCCCTGTCCACTCAGGCGTATAATAGGGTCTCTAGCTTCATCGACTTTTGGCCTGGTGCCGAGAACAATCTAGAACTGCATTTGTTGTTTGATGGCGTTACAATTAAAAACTTTTTGCAACAAACCATAAGTTCAATTGATTGCATGATAAAATCAAATTGCTTGTACAAAATAATCTCTCCATATTTAAGATGATCTCATCTTAAGAGTTTCTGAACACGGATCACACGAGCGTATCTATAAGAGGGGAGGGGTAAAATGAAAATGTCCACTCCCAAACCAATTTATAATTGATGACAATTGTAGTTTGAAAATTTCATATGGTAAAAAAGAGCCTTTTATTATCAGACTGCCAACGTCATTTAACAGAAATTAGTTTTTTTTCCCGTAAAATATTTTGACAAGTAGGGGCATGTGATCCATTTATCTCCATATTCAATAAGCCTAATTAAAAAATGCATTTATCATATACAAAATATAATGTCAGATAATGTTTGAAAAACAAAAACAAGAAAGAAAAGAAAAAGAAAGAAAGAAAAATCATCAAAATCTACACATAAGTATTAACCGAGATAGGCCCGAAGCTACCAAAATAAACAACTTTTTTTTCTCTCCAAAAACATCACATTTTCATTCAACCATTGATCATGGAAGATTGATTTAAAGAAAAAAAAACGCTTTTAGGGCTGTTATGAATATGATGATGATGACGACGAATATGACGATGATGATATAAGAGACGGACACCAGTATATAAGGAGTGATTGAAATAGGTGGGGCGCTTGCAGGGGGTTCTACTAGCCCCCTTTCTCATTCTTGCTCAGTATTTGAGATGGAAGTTTATGAGTACGGTCGGCAATTTGTCAAGTTTACAATCCTTTCGAAATCATACCCATGTCGGTAAAATGTTAACATGGAAAGGTTTTTATCTTCACGTAGGAACAGAATTTGTACTTATATTATTTTGGAATTCGTACAATAATCACAACGAAGTCATTTTTTTTTTTTTAATAATCATTTTTTCGTACAAATTTTGTAAGCACATATATATATACTTATTTTCTTCTGTGTTTTGTTATGTTACTGTTATGAATTCATATTCATGATTGTTAGTGCATTTTGTTGTTACCAAACAGGGCTTCATGGAAGACCACCACTATTTAATGAAAATGTGCTACCCTGTAGTAATATCAGAATTAAATGAATAAGCAAATAAATAAAGAATACATACTTTTAAATACATTAAAATAGATACATTTAACAAACAAAAACAAAAACACCCCTAAAAAGAATAAAAACAACAAAATCAACAAAATATATTTTTATTTCAACGCCACGTACACAATAGGATTAACCTTATCCTCTGAAGGTACAATGGTTTTAACAGTCTTCTTATCGATGTCACTTGTGTTACATCTTTTAAGAAACAACGCAATAAATAATTATAATTTAAACAATATAACTCTTAATTAATTTTTTTAACTACACATTTTCTTAATAACTACGACGTAGCGATTGCCGAGTGGTGTAACGAATTATAGAAATGTGTGGCCATATATAATACATGTGTGCTGGAATCCTGATGAGGGAAGGGAGTGAGGAATGGAAACAGAACCCGAACTACTGAATCTTTGTGGTTTTGTATCTTTATTAAAAATATATATTTTTAGCTGAATTGTGTATCGTGATTAAAAGTCTAATACTTATTTTAATTATCAATACAAAGGTTTTTTTCGTTTTTTTGTTGTATGTGTTGAAGTATTTTACTCGTTGTTAATTGTTTTTCATTGAATGGTAATTAGATTGTTTAATAAAGGGTTATCTTGCAAAGTATTTTTTTTAAAACTATGTACGGGAAGATAACCCTGTACATTGATCATAGAATAAATATAAAAACAGGACAGTCTAGAAGCGATAAAACCCATTGAATATATAACACGAATAATAATTTAAAGAAATGATGTAATATGTGAGGCCGATGCATGTGTCATTGCGTGAGGGAGGGCAGCAATGATGAAATATATCTTATAAAACACGTTTGTGACCAGCGACGCGTGCAACAAACATAATGAACGCCCAAACTGACATCGGTACGAGTGGCATCGCGTGACAACGACAATCAATAAACGCTTTCTCTGAAAATTGGGGATTATCACTTGACGAGGCAAATCAAAGAATGGGCGAATATTCCTAGACACAGTCCTGTAATTACGAGAAGGGATTAAATGGTATTGTGTACACATGCAATAAAAACCCACCATTCATTAAATCGATGATGATGGTGATGACGACGATGGTGATTTACCTGAACAATTTTTATGACGAAAATGTGCAGGTAAACAAATAGAAGGTTTAAGACTTATCCGAAGGACTTGCTGGTAATTGAATAATAATATACGTATCTTACCGAAGGGCACCAGCCAATCAGGGATATGTGAGTTTAAATCACCTTGATCTGAAAGAGAGAGGGAGGGAGAGAGAGAGAGAGAGAGAGAGGGGGGAAGAGAGAGAGAGAGAGAGAAAGAGAGAGAGAGAGAGAGAGAGAGAGAGAGAAAGATAGAAAAAAGATGGAGAGAGAGGGCCAGGTAAATGGGGAGGGGGTGTAAAAGTAAAGTAGGGAAGTCGAACTTCCAAGAAGCAATGTGATATTGATGATAAGATTTACGTGCTGCTCAATGAAAACAATACAATAAGATTCTGCGAACGACATTACCATTCAAAGTAACGTACTTTCGAGGAATGAATATGTTAACAGATGAAAAAAGTCTTGCCCCTTGATATACCAATATGGTTCCTATTCATTGATGTCTTTTTTCCAGGAAAGGGGGGGGGAGGGGTGGGGGAGTACAAAACTCTGATTGTAACATCGCCCTCTTTTGTCAGTTGTTAAGTTTGAACGTTGATGTTAACAAATCTGAGCCCTTTCACATCTTCTTTACGTCCTCTATTATTTTATACCATACTGTGTGTGAACTTGGGCAGTGTGCAATGTTTTTGTTGTTTGTGTTAAAGGAGATCACCGTAGTAACCGGTCATGACTGGAAAAGCTAGATGAACGAGCTCAAACAAGTAAAACAAATAGGCTACTATTTTGCAAGATTAGTACCTAGTGACAGTTTTTTTTTACATCATTTATTTATATCTTCAGTAATACATTGGTTATAAATATTGACAGCCAATAAATTCTTCAATTGTCAATGGAAGCCCCTGCAACTGTCGTTTGTTGTCAGTCCAAAAATAGATGTATGATTGAATAGAGTTAAATAGACGAGATTTGGTTCATTGTCATGACTGGCACACTAGCAGTGGGAACACAAGGATTTTAAAGTTGAAGGGGGTAGAGGGTGTGTGTAAACCTGAGCAGTGTGCGATTGACTGTTTTTGTTGTTTGTGTTAAAGGAGATCACCGTAGTAACCGGTCATGACTGGAAAAGGTAGATGAACGAGCTCAAAAAACTAAAACAAATAGGCTACTATTTTGCAAGATTAGTACCTAGTGACAGTTTTTTTACATCATTTATGAATTTATTTATATCTTCAGTAATACATTGGTTATAAATATTGACATGGTCAATAAATTCTTAAATAATTGAAGAATTTATTGTCAATGGAAGCCCCTGCAACTGTCGTTTGTTGTCAGTCCAAAAACAGATGTATGATTGAATAGAGTTAAATAGACGAGATTTGGTTCATTGTCATGACTGGTACACTAGCAGTGGGGACACAAGGATTTTAAAGTTGAAGGGGATAGAGGGTGTGTGTGAACCTGAGCAGTGTGCGATTGACTGTTTTTGTTGTTTATGTTAAAGGAGATCACCGTAGTAACCGGTCATGACTGGAAAAGGTAGATGAACGAGCTCAAAAAACTAAAACAAATAGGCTACTATTACAGGAGGGACAATGATATAAGCAAGGACATTATTTTGTTGAACACCTGAAGTAGGTCCTACCGAAAATGATTTGATAACTTTTTTTAAAGAAATTATTGTCAAAACTAACCTATACTTAAAAAAGATTATGGTTAATATAGGAGGATTTGATACTTAAACGAAACAAGATTGATTCCTTAAGTAATCCGCACGCCCCTCTACAAACAAAATGTATCGACATTACTATTAGTGTCGTGTGGGTGGACCGACATTTACCAGCCACCATAATAAAAAGGCGCCAAGATCGAACCTGAGTAGTCGTGTAGTAACCAAATAGTTACAACTCAAACTACCGCATTAACTTGTTTTAAAGCCCATCCCCTATATTGTGGAGTCGCTATGTGGTTCTGTTTTGTGTCATGCTCCTGTTATAATCGTTCGTTACCTAGCGACAGTTTTTTACTTTATTTATTAATTTATTATTATCTTCAATAATACATTGGTTATAAATATTGACATGGCCAATATTCTTCAATTGTCAATGGAAGCCCCTGCAACTGTCGTCTGTGTTGTCAGTCCAAAAATAGATGTATGATTGAATAGAGTTAAATAGACGAGCTCTTGTTCATTGTCATGACTGACACGCTAGCTTCACTATTATCTTTCACGGTGGGGACACACGGATTATAAAGTTGAAGGGGGTGTCTAAAGGGTGAGAGCAATTATTGGAGGATGAGACCAATCCCTGGAGGACTAGACCAATTATTGGAGGCTGAGAGCAATTCTTGGAGAAAAAACGATGATTAACGTGAATACGTGATACATGCATTAAAATTAAATCGGAGCTATTTGAGTAGTAATGGTTGCCTATCATTCCGGGGATATATTTAAACATGTGTTAAGGGGGAGGGATGTTAGACTGAATTTGCAGACTAGTTAGCCCCGAATTCTCCCGAACATGCCTCCCCCAGAAAGGGGGTTATCAATTATAGTATATGACATACAAACATCCCCCTTATAGCGACACCCCTGATGTCTGATGGGGGTATATTCTCTTTTATCAGCTTAATTTATAATTTCTATGTTGTGCGGTCTGACCTAGTTTCCCAGTATAAATTACATTCATTGTTATCATCTTTCAATGCGGGGTGTTGTTTATTATCCTGCTTTAGAAAATGTAATCTTCGAGCAGGTATGTACTATTGTCAAGAAAACATGGAACTTAAAAATGACTTTGTACATAAATTTTGTGGCGCGCAGTGTACTTATATCGCCTCAATAAGCAAGTTCATGGGTAGTTAATGGAACAGCATGATTTTTTTCCCTCACTTTTCGTTCTTCTCAATGGCACAATATTGTAACTTTATGTAACACTACAAAAACAAGTATTAATTAGAAAATACGTTTACCTAATAGCGTCTAAAAACGTCATTGTTCAGTTTCGTTCTTTGCTGTTTATACACTGTCGCTCATAACGTTGGAATATTGTTTTTTACCCCAATTTTTGGAATTATTTTGACAACGATTTATTCCTAATAGATCTAGATAATAGTATACATAAATGAACCATGACGGTACGCAGCGGGGGCAGTGGCAAAGCCATGGCCTCGTAACTGTGAGGCCCTAGGATCAAATCCGTGTCGATGTGCTATATTAGTGCCCTTGTGTGGGGCATTAATCCTTATTACTCTTATTTATGACTTAAGGTCCCCTAGTTGATAAGCATATTAGCATACACATACTTTAGCAGTCACACAAAACAAACACTGGCAAATTATTATTTAATATATACATTCTGAGAATGTATACTATTACCTAGATCTATTAGAAATAAATCATTGTCAAAATAATTCCATAAAGTGGGGTTAACAAAAAATATTCCATCGTTATGAGCGACAGTGTAACACTACTGAGCGTGCAGAATCTTAGTATCATTTTTATTACTATGTTCAGTTACTATTCAATTCGTAGCTGAAATATAAAATCCTCAATCACCATTTTCCTGTACCATTTAAGACCAGGGCCCCGCAACACAAAGTCAAATCACCAGTCAAAATCATCGCTGCATGCACATATTGTTAACAAGGCTGACTATCAACAAATCAAAATAGTTATTGCAAATTTGCATCGCAAACATTTGTGTTACGGACTTACAGCGCCCTGATTATCCTGCTTACATCTCACTATCGTTTGACTTTTAATATCCTCGTAAAACTTTGTTATATCTCTCGCTCCAATGAATAAACTGCCCTCTCTCCATGATCACGAATATTTAAACCCAGGTGATTTCTCATCTGAATCTTTACTGCGTTTACATTTTGTAAGTTTCTTGTAAACTAGGATAAATGCAATTTTCAGGTTGTCCTTTGAAATTTGCCCTTTTCTTTTCTTTTCAGAAACAAAAAATGTACACTTCTATCTTACTGTTATTCCAATGATTATTTCATTAGGATGAGGTATGTATTAAATGTTTGACTAATTAGCCAAGTTAATTTCTTAATATTCGATCATTTAATCTCGTTAATCCTTTGTTCCAAATACGAACTTGCATTTCTTTCTCTAATAGGATTAAACTGACATGGAATCAATTCGTCGAATCAATCGTTCTTATTGTTATCAAAACACTTGTGCTCAAACATCCTTCAAATGAAATGTAATGATTGTAAACATTTTACAATATATTTAGTTTGTAATGAATATCAATTATTCTAATGATCGAGATTGAGATTCAAGATGAGTTGAGGGAATATTTCTTTGTGATATCTAAGATGATTAACAGACTTTATGAGGGTGAGAACACGAAAGGGAAACGATGATAGAATGAAAGATTAAACTTCACACGAAAGATTTTTATTCAATTATACAATCAGAATGATATCAATTACATCATATCCTGAAGAAGTACAGAAAAAGTTTGCACTTTCATAAGCATAAACAGAGGAACTGTCATTCTACATGTAAAAGAATAAATCACTGCAATGTGTATCAATTAAAAACAACCGATTTCCACGATAAGTTTATATATACAGTGCCAAATCAATGAAGAAAACTAACCAAGTTCGGAAAATTCGTGGAATAGTATGTAAACAAATATGTTTCATTGAGGATTGGCTACCCCTCAATCAATCACCATGCAGGGTGAGATCGCGGCAACATCCGGACGACATCCTGACAAACGGCGAGTTAATGCCTGGATTACATTTGGCCTGGGATTAGTCTACGGAGCCCGTATCCTGCCCGTACCCCCTTTTCCGTGCGGCCTCCGTGTGGAGGCAGGAGGTGGCCGTGAGATATTCGTACGGATTCACGGGCTCCGCGACCTCTACGATTTTGTTTCGCGGGAATTTATAGAAATTCGAAAAAAATCGTAAGCCCGTAGCCTGGAGACATGTCGTATGTTGCATTGCACGACCCCCCCCCCCCCCACGGGCATCTCGTGGAGGCCTCCCGCTGATCGTGCAGCAAACGCACGATTTTTTTGGTGAACATGGGGGAAAAAAACGCTCAAAGACGGCACGGCGGCTGCACGGTCACCGCGCCTTCTCGCCAAACCTCTGCACGGAAGCTACACGGGCTTCGTACGATTTCCGTGCGGAGGCTGCGGAGACTGCACGGCTACTGCACTGCATTTGCCTGATTTTCGTTCAATTTCCAAGCAGCCTCTGTACGGATTAGCCCCGGCCTGCCCCTCGAGGGTCAATACAAGAAATGGCACGATGCTCGAAGATAATGTAAACACAAACATCGTAGCCCGTAGCCTCCTACGATGCCCTAAAAATCGCACGGAAAATCTTAGACCAATTTATCGTACGGCGCCCGAGCAAATGTAATCCATGCATAAGACGCTCGCGGAACTTTCCCGGGTAGATGACGTCAGGACCGTGAAAAATGTAAACATCGGTTGCTTAAATGCATGCTGTGAATTGCACGAAACGCAATCAATAGTAATGGCTATCCACCGCAAATCCATGTTCAACACTGATTAAGTTCGAAGTCGGATTGAAGATAATAGATTCTAATAGATAATAGAGTATATATATATCGAACGATACTAATACCATTTTATTACAGCGAAATTATAGCGTGCATGACTAAATTGCGCTCCCGATTCTGAATTACCGGGAAAAATTTCCCGCGCTAACGCACACAATAGTGCGCGCCAGCTGATCACGATGAGGGAGTTGCGGTTGTTATGGTAATCTACCCGAGTGAGGTTTTTGCGGATGGCTGGTTAAGACTGTGTCCATGAGCCTAGCAAAGGCTCACCCCTTGTTTTACGATCAGACCTCCAACTGTTTCTTATCCGCATATCGCTCAGTTGAGATAAAAAAAAAGTTCTATCAAGACGAACTTCCACCGACCAGCGTAACTTACTACGGAAGTGATGGCGCCCGCACTAGTCGACCTCAACCCACCTTCCGCATCTAAACCGTGCGAAATTTAATTTTCATTTTCTATTGTAACAAACAACCCTCGTGAAAGGTCACAGATACTCCCGAGTGTAAGTGAGAGCATCCACGCGGTCAACTTACGCTACCCTCTAGTCGTGTTAGTAAGACATAGTTACTCTTGGATAAATCCAGGAGTAAATAGGTCGGGGTAAAGGTAGGCTTAGCTTACACGACTATCGTTTAGACGGTCACTACTCCGACCTTAACACCTATGCCTACTTCACCATTACCCCGACTAGCTCTTAACACGACATTTACCCTGGGGTAAATTGCCTCCGTCTGAACAACACTATAGACAAACAGATAGAAAGCGATACAGAGCCAGTCTATTCTGTGAACATCAAGGTAAAGATTGAGTCTACGTATGCAATAAATGAATGTTTGCAAACAATATACTAGTCCCTTCTAGTATGATTTCAGTTTATTGTGGAAACTATAATCCTTACTTTACAGGTCTCCGTCCAATACATGCTAAATCATCAATAAAATCAGTTTTTATGATAACCGAAAGTTTCTGATGACAAGAGCAAAATTTTACAAGTTTATAATTACAATTATTACACAATTTTATAAGAACGATTCAATGTTCACAAGTCTGTTCGTCAGATAGATCAATAATATAAATTGTTTGTTTGATTTTTGGGGGGGTTACCGTACTGCTAAGAAAGCATGTGTATGCTTGTAAGTAAGCAACCACTGGACCGACGGTTTTACGTCCTCTCCGAGGAACTTGGTAATTAGGATTAATGCCTTACCACAGGGCACTAGCGCACCGAATTGGTTTCAAGCCCGGGACCTGCTGGGACCTCAAGCCCGCTGCTCTACCACTAAAACACCATGTTTTTTTCTCCATGGTTGATCAAATTGCTGACAAAAATGCGATTCCTCGTTGAAAAAGATCATTATAAGAAATGAAAATGTAGATTAATAAATTCCATGTTGATCTAGTTATCAGTTTTTAAATATGAATTGCATATGGTTTTATTCTTCAATGAGTTCATTCACAGTCCAATGATTTTGATTTTTGAATACCACCAAAGTCCCTTCTCCTTTCTGCGGCATTCATCGCTGCTGTCATGGTTAGCAGTTCGGCTGTTGTTCTTTCCATCGTAAGATTGCCCATGGTTTTCTGCAATCTGGCGTTGGTTGTCTTTGCGATTGCCCGGGCTTTAGTGTTCCTTCCAGCTGGTGGCATATGAACGCTTTCCTGTGCTGCTTGCATCAAAAGCTGACTCTTTCTTTGCATGAATTTTTCCTGGATCTCTTCTTCTACTTCCTCTTCAATGTCAACATTTGAACGTTGTTTCAAGTTTTGGAAGGGGCATGGACTGGATGATGATGACCGTATAATGCTTTCTCCCTGTGCCGAGGCCATCATCGCACTCAACGACCCCATGCAAATAGTGCCCCTTCGAATCCGCAATCTTGACATTCTCCGTGACTCATCTTCAGTTTGGTTGGTGGTCGATGACGTTGACTCCTGCTCGGATGTGACGGAGGCTGTATCAGAGAGTGAAATACTACTACCTGAATCTAATGAGCATGAGCCGCGCCGCTTAAAGACAGGATGTCCACCAACCAAACGAAGATTGGATGATGTCAGATGTCTTGGAGAAGAAGAAGATTCCCTGACGTCAGCTGGTGGCGACGATCCCATGTCGATAACATGTCGTACCATTGCATCCAGGCGGGCTGCTTCTTCATCGTCTTTTAACAAACTTATTGTCTGGATTAAGAGAAATCAAAACCAAAAGAAAATAACTGTTTTCAGTTTGCTTCAATATTTTTGTTTACTTTCGAAGGAAAGAATGAGCACATGGCCGTAAGCAGTGGCGCTTATCAATCATTCTTCCTTAATCAATATTAATTTTTTCATTGTGTTATTAGGTTTATCAGTTAAAAGAACATCGACAAAGACATACACTTACTCTGCAATTACCATGTCTACCGATTCAATGCCAGATCAAAATAAAAACATGTCCATAACAATTAATGCAATCGCTGCTTTGGTATCATGATTGCATGGTTCAACATGTTTTACGACAAATATCTTAAATCAAAAAAGAGTGCGAGAGAAAAAGTCCTTGACGTACCAATTGACTTAATGGACCCTGTTTCTTATCTCCATGGTTAGTGCATAGATGACTGAATATTATATCATTAATGATCATTATGACCTAAATGAAATTTGATGCAGCTGATAACACCATTAACCAATCATTTTACGAGCAAAGTGCACTTGACATTGAAGAATTACCCCATGGGGTCCTACTAAAAACCAAACAATCAACACAGAAGAATAGCTGAAATTGTTGTAAAGCTCCGCGTCAACTGATCACCATGTGACCATCATTTCAGTCATTAATAAAATAATCCTCTCCCCTGCCAACATTTAAATGAATTAAACGATCTATATATGAAAGTAAGGGGCGTTATTATAATTGGACAAAATAGATGCGAAACGAATCTTACTTGATATAGGTGCGAAGATTGATTTTTTCTTTGACTGTCGAGTAGTATTGAGATTACAAAAGATTTCAAATTGTAATAGGCCTAGTCCCAATAAAAGTTGATGGTAACAAAGTTGTAAAGCAAAAATCTTATCATCACGGACAAAATCAAAACTGAGAGGTATAAAGGGGAAATGAAATAACGGTTAAAGAAAATCACTGAAATTAGAATTATTATTAGAGGCATATTGCTCTTCTCCAGCTGCCTCTATTTGCAAATCTCTATGCTTCTTTGTAATGTGTCATGTGATTATCTGACATTATGTTCATGTGATTAGGTCAAAGCTGAGCTTACCTCTAGATTTTTCTTTTCTAGTACAACAGAAACCACCAGAAGATTATCTTTAAATGATATATTTGTTGTTGGTTTTAGTGATGGTGGTGCTGCATACGATGGAAATTTGATTCCCCTTCTTCTCCTTTAATACACAGATGTAATAAAACTTTACTCTGCGATGATTTCAGTATGATTTCCATATACCTTTGATATTTGTATGAATGTATGATTTAAATTAATTAAATAAATAGATTAGTTCTTCTGAACATTACATGTATTTTAAAATGTATTTTGTTTTGGAAATGCAAGTAATTAATAAAATTGTCAGCGTCAAATTTAGAATTATTTATGCTTATCTAAATTTTCTTTTCTGTTGCAAATTTTAATACAAATTGCAAATATGTTTGAATATCATGTAATTCTTGTAACGAAAGATGAATAGAAATACGCTATTTTGCTAGTTCCTTATATGGGTTTGTCGTATCAGTGATAAATACAATCAAATGTATCAAATTAATATACTTGCGCATAAAATAAATGGTAATAAAAACTCTTTTGATATCAAGAAATCTCTATATTCTTACCTCAAATGTGTCGGGTTGCGAAGCATCTGACTCAGTTTCAGAGGTAATCGATGATCTCCTGGATAACGATGGTCGAGCTAGACTATGATTGGCTCTGATAGATGCGGGCGACATTCTCGGACTGTTTTGCCTCGACTTCATTGATGATGGTGACGGGATACTCAAGTTGGCGACGGCTTTCGATCGCTCCTTCATCAAAGCTTCGAGCATCTGTCGATTGGACTGTAGAGCACTGGCAGCTGATGTTCTCTTGTTTCCTGTCCACGGTGGTTTTGAAAATGAATGAGTAGGAGTAGCAAGAGAGCGCCTCCGTGGGGATGGCGATGGGGGATGAGGAATGGTAAGTTGAAAACTAGGTGTTATTGGCAAAGAGGAACGACGTCTAGATGATGAGTTTTGTGATTTAGTTTTAAATTCATAGGATGATGGTGTGTTCGTCACTTCTGAATTGGAATTTTCGATTTTTTCCAGAGGAACAGGGGAGGTTGGGCTACTTGGATAGCGGCTTGGAGACAGAGACATTCTTCGTGATCGTTCAAACTTTGGTGGTGCAGGACTCAAAGATCTATGAGATGAAGCACTACTCGCTCTTATTACCTTCTCATCCACTTCTAAATTGTCAGCATGATTGTTTTGTTCTTCACTTTCTTCACCATTGAAGGATCTGAGGACCTTCTGCGCTTCGGGACTCGCAAACAAGCTTAAAGGAATTTCAGGCACCACTGCCGGTTTCACAACCGTAGGTTTCACAAGGGTATGCTCCCCAGATTCATTACTTTTAGAAAGACCTCCTTCACTTACACACAATGATGTGTTTTTCACTTCTAAATTGGAATTCGAAAAAGTCTGTTTGATTTTGTCCAGAGGAGCAGGGGAGATGGGCCTACTTGGAAGCGGTGGATAGCGGCTTGGAGGCAGAGACATTCTTCGTGATCGGTCAAACTTTGGTGGTGCAGGACTCAAATATCTATGATTTGGAGCAAGACTCGCTCTTCTTCCAATTTTTGTCCATCTGTAACTGCTCTTTATCCCCTTCTCATCCTTTTCAAAACTGTCATCGTCTCTCACATCATCGACTTCGATTTTGATGTTGTCACTTTCGTGATTGTTTTGTTCTTCACTTTCTTCGCCTTTCAAAGACCTGAGGGCCTCCTGCGCTTCGGGACTGGCAAACAAGCTTAAAGGAATATCAGGCACAACTGGCGGTTTCACAACGGTAGGTTTCACAAGAGTATGCTCCCCAGATTCATTACTTTTAGAAAGACCTCCTTCACTTACATATAATGATGTTTTTGTACCTTCTAAATCTGAATCCGAAGAAGTCTTTTTTATTTTTTCCAAAGGAGCAGGGGAGATGGACCTACTTGGAAGCAGTGGATAGCGGTTTGGAGACAGAGACGTTCTTCGTGGTCGGTCAAACTTTGGTGGTGCAGGAGTCAAACATCTATGATCTGGAGCTAGACTCGCTCTTCTTCCCATTCTTGCGCGTGCTGGAGGGCAAGCAGAAATGGTTCGTGCAACCACCGTCCATCTGTACCTGCTCTCTATTTCCTTCTCACCTTCTTCCAAATGTACGTCTATCCCATCATCGGATTCGCTTTTGCTGTTGTCACTTTCATGATTGTTTTGTTCTTTATTTTCTTCGCCATTTAATAACCTGAGGGCCTTCTGCGCTACTGGACTGGCAAACATGCTTAAAGAAATTTTAGGCACCACTGCCGGTTTCACAACCGTAGGTTTCACAAGAGTATACTCCCCAGATTCATTCCTTTTAGAAAGACCTCCTTGACCATTTCTGATGCATTTTGTAAAGGTAGGTAGTTCCTTGTTCTCTACGACCCTCATTTTCTCCGATCTGTCAGTAAACTTGATAGACACCGAAGAGGACACGAGTAGATTCTTTTGATGTGTTAACTGGACAATATTCAGAATTGAAATGAGCATGTCAATCTCGTCCAAACGTTCCTATGCATGTCCACTCAGGCGTATAATAGTGTCTCTACGATAATTTTTGGCCTAGTGCCGAGAAAAATCTAGAACTGATTTTGTTGTCTGAGGACGGGGGGAGGGGGGGGGGGGGGGAGGAGGAATTATGATTCACGCACCTAACTACCGGATCATTACAGAAGGTAAGGGCTGCATTAATGAAGCACGTCAAAATTAATGTGGGTATTATTGTCATTTTCGGTTAATGTATGCCATCATGCGTTGATTATGTGGACAAAAGTATAACAGAGATAAAAACCAACAATCTACGCTACGAGACTATTTAAAAAAAAATGAAAGGGATTAACGTTTCTTTGTACAAATTACTGCGTTGGTAAGACATAGTATCTTAGAAACGGGTAAATTTAGATTATATTAAGTGGATAAAAGACGTCGCCCATTGTGGAAGGCCCCCTGGGGTTTCCATTCATTCATTCTAAACAAACTATTTTTGTTGTCAGGATGGCAGGGATGCCACCCCCTCCTTTTGTTGCTCTGTGGAAACGTGAATGAAAAGTAAAAGAAATGTTGAAAGAATTTGCAAGGAGTCTTTTTCTTTACACATAATATAGGTCTTCTAAAGAACGATACTACCGGTACTTGTTGCTTGTTTGTTTATTTGTGTTGTTTTTGTTGTTACTCCCCATTTTAAGGTTTTTCATCAAGAATATTAGCAGATCTCTATCAAGTTTAGACTATCGTAGACTTGCCAAAGTCTTATGTTGTGTGTACGCCAAAACATCCCTTTTTATATCGTGGATCTCTTTACAGAATTACTTCGGATATTGATTTGAACGAAATTGTGCGGTCTGCTGCTATTAAAGTGGCAGAGAATGTCATTGCAAAGATTATAAGAAGCTGGTTAAATAATTGAACTTATTTCAGGTGACAAAATAATGATACCTATCTATTGTCAAATTATCCTTAGGGTAAGAACAGTGACATGATTATTAAAGATGAGGCTCATGCAGGCGCGGATCCAGGATTTCTTAGGGGTGGGGGCCCAAATTTGAAATCAATATGAAATTTAGTGTGCTGAAATCTGAAAATCGTGCCGGCCAATATTTCGCTCAGTGGGGAAGGGGGGGGGGGGGAGTAAGGGGGGGTGGTGGTGGTAGTGGTAGTGAGCACTATTTTTTTTTTTGGCTCTCGAAAATTTAAAGAATCGCACCCCCCTTGAGCGCCAGGGGGAGGGGGGGGCATATCCAAAAAAGGTAGAATTAACGTGTTTTTACACGTCCCCCCCCCCCTGGCTCCGTCACTCGGTCCAGGGGGCGGAGCCCTCAGAAGCTCAGGAGATTTGGGCAATAAATAACGGTCAGATGAGCATATTTTTATACCATATTTGTAACACTGGCAGGTCACGAATCGGCGTAAGATCCAAGGGGCGGAACCCCCGGAAGCTCAGGCGTTTTATACATTAAATTATTGTCAGATGACCATAGTTTATACCTTATTTGTAACACTGGCAGGTCACGAATTGGCCTGGGGTCCAGGGGGAAGAGCCCCCGGAAGCCCAGGGGTTTTGGGCAATAAATTACGGTCAGATGAGCATATTTTGATACCTTATTTGGGACACTGGCAGGGCACCAATTGGTGTGGGGTCCAGGGGGCGGAGCCTCCGGAAGCTCAGGGGTTAGGGGCAATAAATAACGGTCAGATGAGCATATTTTTATATCTTATTTGTGATACTGGCAGGTAACTAATTAGTGTTGGGTCCAGGGGGCGGAGCCCCAAGAAGCTCAGGCGTTTTATACATTAAATTATTGTCAGATGACCATAGTTTATACCTTATTTGTAACACTGGCAGGTCACGAATTGGCCTGGGGTCCAGGGGGTAGAGCCCCCGGAAGCCCAGGGGTTTTGGGCAATAAATTACGGTCAGATGAGCATATTTTGATACCTTATTTGGGACACTGGCAGGGCACCAATTGGTGTTTGGTGCAGGGGGCAGAGCCCTCAAAAGCTCAGGGGTTTACACATAAATTTATCGTCAGATGAGCATAATTTTATACCTTATTTGTGACACTGGCAGGTCACGAATTGGCGTGGGGTCCAGGGGGCGAAGCCCCCGGAAGCTCAGGGGTTTCGGGCAATAAATTACGTCAGATTAGCAAAATTATACCTTATTTGTGACACTGGCAGGTAACTAATTGGCGTGAGGTCCAGGGGGCGGAGCACCCAGAAGCTCAGGGGTTTTTAGGAATTTTATAATGGTCAGACAAGCATGCAGGGGGCCCGCCTTCGGGCCCCTGGTGAGGTCGAGCCCCGGAAGTCAAGGGGTTTTAGGTATTCAATTACGGTCAGATGAGCATATTTTGATACCTTTGATATTTTTTCCCTTTTATTTCCTTCTTTTTTATCCTTCTTTTTTTTGCCAGGGGAGGACACTTTTTTTTTTGGTCCCCAAAAAATCGCAACGACTCAGCCAGCCGCTGAATAAGCGGGGGTTAAAGATATTTAATGGATAACACTGCCTTTTTATACACAACATAATTATATTCCTCTCTTTATTGCACATTGTCAATGAGACGGAATACGAAGAATGAAATTGTATGATTACATCAATAAATGGCCCGATGATTTCAAATGTATTCAGTTCGTTTTGTCTATTTGTGTTCTGGACTATGGTAAATCTTAAATGCAAGCGAACAAAAATACCGAATAAAAGACAAGAGATAGATAAAGAATAGCATTAAATACAAACATACTAAACCTTTTCGTCTTGCACTCATCGGAGAAAACTTACCAAGTTCAGAAAACTCATGAAAAAGTATGTAAAAGTTGATGCTTCACTGAGGGTTGGCTACCCTTCACAATGTTATAAGGATACGTTCAGTGAACGCACTCTTACATACAGATTTCCTTCTTTTGGTGGTAGTGGTGGCGAGGCAACTACGTTTTCCGATTTTGAATTAAAAGCAAATAGAAATCAAGAGATAAATACAAAAGTAAATTTAGAAATAGATTGATAAACATTTTATAGATAAATAGATAAGTGGAAAGTTATTCACGGCTGATAAATGAGGAATCGACAAACTGTTTGAATGTTATTTTTTGCGTGGCTTTATTTAACATTGGTTACTGTCATTTTTACATGTATCATTTAATCATGGCGGTACATGAATTCACACCAATATGATAATTGTATTACACACATATTTGGGTGTCCAACCCAAATACAGAACTAGTGCTGGAACCTATGCTGATAATGAGGAAAATCTGCACCCCATACATAAACATTAACATCTAAATGTGTGAGATCCAAGCGTGTAGCCAGAGAAGGAACTATAAGCTAAGAAAGATGACCAACAGTCCTTTTCAAGACT